GCTGGCTTTTCCCCCCCCCCCCGGGAGCTTGCCTGGATATATTATCAGGAATCGGTGGGAAGGGGCGAAAAGGTTTACGTTGTTTTAAACCTGGCCCAGCAAACTCCCCTGGAAGAGTGCGCGCGCGTGTACAAACCGGGCAAAATTCCCCCTTAACTTTTTGCTCCTCACAACTGAACGCGTGAACGAAGGAGTCTTGTGCTTGAACTACCAGCTAACTTTGTGGTGGCATTTGATTTGTGCAAGCTTCGTTCCGCTTGCCAGTCCCTATCTAGCGTTGCAGCAGGCAGCAGATAATGAACGCGCTTAGTAAAAATTCAGCCCTGGAAGGCTAACTGTTAGAACTCGTTAGAACTGTTAGAATTACCGGGAATCAACCGGGAAGCTGATGTCTGGATACGTGCGCGTAGGCTGAAGCGCGGTGGTGGATTAAGAAAGCTAAAAAGGTGAGAAAAATGTTGACGCTAACGGGAATGCGAAGTTCGTAGGGGAAGCAACGTAACTCCAACACGGAATTTACCGCTGTTAAGTCTGATGGTGATGTAGATACTAACAGCCTAGAATACAAGCCATTAGGAAAGTCTGTGGAGTGGAGACGTTCTTTCTTCAACCGGAATGAATGGCTGAGAGCTGCTTTGGCGAAATGTTTCCTCTGGTGAAAGTTGCATGTGAATATTCGATGCCATTAGAAAACTCTCCTGATTTGCATGCTATATTGTACCTGGGATGGAGGAGAGGAGGCAATCTCAGAAGGCGGCAGCAGCCACCAGAGTTCTTCCTCCTCCTGAGGAACTGAGAACAGGCTCAGTTTTAGAAGAGATGTTGAAGGAACATGACTTGAAACCAGGCTGTTTTGGAGGATCAAAGAATGGGATTTATTTTTCTGTTAGAGATTACAGCCTTGCCAGGTTTGGGCTGGAAGTCATTTCCCCCTGTTGATTCTGGCTGTTGCTATTAACCTCTGTACCACAAAAGTTTGTAACTGTGTGTGTGTGCGCGCTTGCAGTTTGATTCAGGATGGCTAACCTATTTTAATAAAATTCGGTTGCAGAAGATCGCGTTTCAGTTAGCTTGATGACCTGATCATCTTTAGGAGGTCTTTCAGCTGTAGTTAAATTCCCTTCACTAGTCTCATGGAGGAGTTTAAAGGGGGACATTGAAGTATGTCTGCAGTCAGCTGAAGTTCAAAATAAAATGCTTTGTGTGCACAGCTAGTATTCACACAGGACCTTCTCTGCCATCTTAAAAATATACCTTAAAAAAATAAATCCTACTGCGTCCATAGTTCTTTGTAAAGAAGTTTAACAGAATGTTTGATGCTTTGGATAAACGATGGTGGATTGGCATGATCTGCCCCACTTCCTATTAACTGAATGTTGTCTGGGTTTATATGGGCACCCATTTCTCTTACTTCCTAGGCATGAGATAGATACTAAAGGAATGGTGGGGGAGGGAGGAAACTTCTCTAGTTGGTTCAAAGCCCTATTCAGATCAGATGCCACACATTTGGGGACAAAAAATGACCAAAATTAAATGGTGCAATGTTTGTGTCCTGCCAAACACAGAAAGGGCATGTATCTTTTATACATCTGGCATGCTCAGTGTAAGATAACCCAGCTATTTAAGCAAGTAGGTACTATTTACTGTTTATATGGCATAAAGGCTGGTGTGTGTATCCAAGTGCAAAGATTTTTATGTGAATTGGTCCTCTATTAGGAAGTCCAGTGTATGTCTTTGAAGAGTCAGTGTTTTTCAACTTATCCTGGCTCATAGTGAGAAAAGAATAACTTTAAGATCTTCCAGTGAAGGGAATGGAACACAAGTGGTGACTTTCATTCTCTTCTTCCCTAAAAAAAAACTTCACCCAGTGAAAGTTTTAACTTTGCTTTCCCTCTTGGACTGATCTACTATTTTAAATACTTAGTGTAAACACCATGAGTATTTACTCATATTTTTCCATATGCTTTCTTTCATCTGGTAGTGCAGTGTGTAAACAGATTAGGCTGTTGAAGATGAGCTTCCAGACTACATGCAAGGCTGTAGCCCAAAGCCAGCCTTTTCTCTCTCTCTGTTCCCAATTATAAAAGTTCAAGTGGTTTTTCCTTTATGTCCTCTAGGTTTTTGCTGAGTTTATTCCAGAGATCTGAAAGTGGTGATGGGAGAATGGGAAAAAAATAGCCCCTCCAATTTAATGGCCATCTCTAATTTTAACTGATACAACTAGTCCATTGTTCAAAGATGCCCTTTTCCTAAACTTCTCCTACAAAGTGATTCTTTTTCAAGCTTAACTTGCCTCTTTTGTATATGTGAAACCAACCAAAACAATTTTCTTTCCATTGCTTCAGCCACCTGAAAAAGATGTTTCAGGCATTAAGATTGCTTAGGCTGCCATCAGAGACAGGTAACCGAAGGTCTTGAAATTGATGTGAGTTGTACTTTAAAACATCTTGAAGGGCAAAAGGCTCCCTCTTTGGCTATAAACAGCCATTTTGGGATTAGTCTTACTGGTGTGTGCGTAGACAGGGATAAAGTTGCATTGTGACTGAAGATGATGTGGAATTAGGTGGGAACTTCTTGCAACAGAAATTCTGAGTGATTCCTATTTCCTTTCATTGTTTCCAAGCTCTGTCTTTCAAAACTTGCATTTAATGTCATGCCTTTGAATTGTGTTTGGCACTCTGGTTTTTCTGTTTGGTGAGATCAGTGGGCATTTTAAAAACATGATTTCACTTGTATTGTCCTGTGTGACTTTTTAAAACAAATTATCAGTGTTGTGATTGCAAACTGCATAATTTTGGCTAAGAAGGGAGTGCCACTCTGGAGTTGAGTTTAGCTGCTGATGACTACAAGGGCACATCCATATTGCTTGCTTGGCAGAAGCGCAGCAATATGGTTTGCTGTTTGCTGCTTGTGGTTTTTGATTATTTGTTTTGTTTTACTTCCCAGTTTGGTCTGTACTCTGAGGATTTCCTGATGGTATCCCATCTAATTATTAACCAGGTCCAGCTTGCTTGGTTTCCTCAAGATCAGCCAAGGATAGCTAGGTGCTGCCACCTGCTGTGATATAAGTTGGCCACCATTGTAAAAATGAGAACAACTTGTATGTACAAGTGAAAGCAGACATCTGGACTTCGCGATTCCAAGCATTCGTTTGTGAGTGTACCCAGTTGTCTAAGGCTTTGAGATGAGGCTGTGGCTGCTGTGGTATGTACATTCCTACACTTAACTTCTATTACACCTTAGAACCGCTCATCTCAGCCAGTATAGTAAACCAGATTATCGTATAGCTGAAAGCTATTATTTTTGTGGATGTTGTATGTGTTTTGTGTTTTGTGTAACCAATCAAATATGAGCAACATATAGAATTGAATCAAACCACAGTTTCTTCATAGGTCTTTCATTCTGCATAACTAAGACTTTTGCAATTCCTTGCAGGCATTGATGTTAGAATTTCAGCTTGTTGGATTTTGAGGGGCGCTGGGTTAAATCAGATGCTCTTTAGCTAATCCTCTTTTGCTTTGTCTCTCTTGATTTCTAAGGATTGTGGTTTCTGAGGTTACCCAAGAGGAAATACTGGCCATTGGAATTGCAGACTTTGGACATAGCAGTGACTGACATTCTACACCACCCTTTGCCAGTTGTTTGGAAACCTGCAATCCAGGCTGGAACCATGGACTCTGCCAGGGGCCCCCATGTGAAGGTCCGGAGTGAAGTCAGTGACTACCTCAACTATGAAATCATCATCAAGCATTATAACCACACCGGGAAGCTCAATGAGAATGCTGAAAGTGGGATCAAAGCAACATCGGTAGTCTTCATCATTATCTGCTGTTTTATCATCCTCGAGAACATCTTTGTTCTGCTGACTATTTGGAAAACCAAGAAATTTCACAGACCAATGTATTACTTTATTGGTAACTTGGCACTCTCAGATTTGCTGGCAGGAGTGGCTTACATTGCCAACATTCTGTTGTCTGGATCCAAGACTTACAGCCTCACCCCTGCCCAGTGGTTTCTTAGGGAAGGAAGCATGTTTGTGGCTTTGTCTGCTTCTGTCTTCAGCCTGCTGGCTATTGCGATTGAGAGATATATTACTATGTTGAAGATGAAGCTCCATAATGGCAGCAATAGTTTCCGTTCCTTCCTGCTGATCAGCGCCTGTTGGGTCATCTCTGTGATATTAGGGGGGCTCCCTATTATGGGGTGGAACTGCATTGGCTTCCTGGACGACTGCTCCACAGTGTTGCCTCTTTATCATAAGCATTATATCCTCTTCTGTACCAGTATATTTACTGGCCTCTTATTGACCATTGTGATCCTTTACTGTAGGATCTACATCTTGGTAAGGACAAGGAGCCGTAGGCTGACCTTTCGGAAGAATGTTGCCAAAGCAACCCGGAGCTCAGAGAAGTCACTGGCTCTGCTGAAGACAGTGATTATTGTTTTAAGTGTGTTCATTGTCTGCTGGACTCCCTTGTTCATTCTTCTGTTGCTGGACGTGAAATGCAAAGTCAAGGAATGTCCAATCCTCTTCAAAGCTGAATATTTCTTAGTACTAGCAGTTCTAAACTCAGCCACCAATCCAATCATCTATACACTCACCAACAAGGAGATGCGGAGAGCTTTTTTCAAGATCGTGCAGTGCTGTACGTGTCCCACCACAGACTCTGGAACCAAAGTCAAGAGACCAATCATTGGAGGGATAGAATTCAGCAGAAGTAAGTCCGACAATTCCTCCCATCCACAGAAAGATGAGGGGGATCCTCCAGAAACAATTGTGTCCTCTGGTAATGTCACCTCATCATCTTAGGAGCTTTGGCAAAGAGGAGGCCTGAGCCCCTTGAAGGCTGACACACGGGGAATAGCTCTGCTTGCTTGTCTCCAGACGGAAGGAGGAGAGTGAGAATGAGTTGATCTGAAGGGGAAATGGAGTACTGATTGGGGTGCAGTTGATGACATAAGACATGTTGTGTCATTTGAAAATATTTCCTCTCTGGGAGAATATTGTGTTGCCTTTGCCCTGAGGCAACTTAGGGTTGTTAGGAAAATTCAGGCTCTATACACCTCTGAAAAGCGGACACTTGGGTCAGCAGTGCCTTTGAATGGGAGTATGGGTGGGGAAGGAGAGAAATATCTTCAAATCGTTTTTCCCCCCAAGGCAAAACTTCAGTGACTCCTGAAATAAAGTTCTTGCTGTTTTAGAATGACAGCCTTCTTCAATTAACTCCTTGTCAAGGGAAGCAAATGTGCTAGTATATTCTGAGTAATAGAAAGAGAACTGGGGGGGATTTTACCTCAAGAGTTGTTCAGGTGCATGTGTCCCTTTGGCACTTAATCATAAGTGGAAAGTCAATGGGAATTAGGTGCTGGAGGCTGCTGTGGTTACTCTGAGGAACATAGCCCCATATTCCTGGTTGTAGTTGAATCCTCAAGGATTTAGTGGGGCTGTGATATGTGTGGATTAGGTTGGGTCCATTTGAACTTAATAGATGTGTCATTTGAACCTTAAAAAAAAGAGCTGATAAATATGCTGCTTTCAGTAATGAGTTGCATTTTAATAATTTTAACAGCAGCTTTATATACACAATTTTAACCACCAGCCATGTCCCATTTCTGCTCATGTAGTCATAAGAATGTAAGAACCGCCCTGCTGGAGCAGGCCAATGATCATCCTTAATCTCCTTCCAGTCAACTTTGTTGTATGACCTTCCTTATCTTAGTGTAGGATACATATTTTTCTCTATTTTTTTTTCCCACACACTGGTCAACCAGATGCATCTGGGGTGCTTACAAACAGGAGGTGGAGCCATACCTTTCTACTACTGCTCTGTAACTGGTGTTTGGAGACAGGCTGTTCTAACCTGTAGGTCTTCAAGACTAACAGCTCTTGATAGACCTATTCTCCATGAATTTATCCAATCCCTTTTTAAAGCCATCCAAATTAATGGCCATCACCCTGTCTTGTGGTAATGAATTCAATGTTAATTATGTGCTGTGTGAACAAATACTTTCTTTTGTTTGTTTTTCATCTCCTTCCAATCAACTTGGTTGGATGACTTTCCTGAATCCTTATGTTCTGAGTGAGGGATACACATTTTCTTTGTTTTCTTTCTACACAGCATACATAATTTCCTTTTTTCTAAGTAAATAGTTTAGTCATTTCTCATGAGGATGATATTGGAACCCCAATCTGTTTGCCCTATACTTTTTCCAGCTCTGTTACATCTTTTTCCAAATGTAGCAGCCAGAAATGTTAAACAGCATTACAGATATGGATGAACCCTAGATTTGTGTAAGGGCATTACAAATTGAGAGTTTTATTTAATCCCTAGCATGGACTTTGTCTTTTTCACAGCTGCCACACACTTGGTCAACATCTTTGATAGTTGTCCACTGTGACCATACAATTTTTTCTTTCCTGGTTAGTTAGAGATAGCTTAGACCCCATGAATGTATATGTGACTAAGGGGAGGTTTACCTCAATTTGCAGCATTTTACTTATTAAATCCTGAGATATAGTTTAGGCTGAAAGATGAATCACAGTTATTCTTAAGCTTTTTAAGGCTGAACAAACAAATAAGACTGGGCCTTTCTGCAACCTCAGCCAAATGTCCACACTCAAGATCCTTGTATAACCAGTATGTCCATTCATTTTAAATGGTGTTCACTGACTGCAAATCCATGTCCATCCATGGAAAGTATTATTTGTGTTAAATGAATGTATTTTATTACAGCATTAATTGCTATTTTGTGTTTGTGTGTGTGTGTATGTTAACTTGAGTCAATAGGGCTGAACGTGTAAAAAATGTAGAGATGCTAATAACACAGATGCTATTTTATATCTGGAGCAATTTTATGAGAAATTCATGATTAATCCCAACCTGGAGGGAGGGTCCCAATATTAATTATTTGGGAGATATGTCTATTTTTTCCACTTAAGAATGATCAGTTGCAAAGGAGGATATTGAGGATTCCTATACTTATAATAGTTGTGTGAGAGAAGGAATTTCTGAAGGTGCAGCTTACCATGAAGTAAATAAATGAGTGTGAGTGTGTGTGTGTGAGAGAGAGAGAGATCTCCTAAAATAATCTCTGCTGCCCAGCTGCAACAGGCACAGGAGTTGGTGTCCTTTGAAAGGGGCAGCATTCAGTGGAAGTTTTGCATCTGGGAGGATCCAAAGTTTAAATAATGAAATGAAAATGGCAGGAGTGTCTCCACTGTTGTGGTCTTTAATCCATCAATAGTGCATTACTGAGCTAATCATATGCAAAGTAGCTGCAACCAACAGATTAATGTACAAGTATTGGCTGAATTCATAGGTGGATGTTAGAAACAAGGTTATTGGCCTTTTAGCATTATTTGCAGTGCAATTTTTTTTTAAAAAGTATGTAAAATGTTTCAGACTTGGTTGTACAATTTACATATAGCTTCATTGACCTTTAAATATTAATAAACTGGGATTTTGTATAAACTGTGTTTTGACCCATCCTTCCTTTGATGTCATACATAGCTCTGCTATAGTTCTGACAGGATACTTTAAGAATTCAATGGAAATACTCATTTCCTTTCTGCGCTGAAAGGACAGCTCGCTATTAATCATAGTATCTATGCATAATGACACGCATGAACATACTCCGATATCCCCATTTATCACAGAAAATCATTAATTTGAAAGTGCTAGATCGTAGGGCTTATCACAAATACCTAATATTGGTTCTTAGATCAGTAAGCTAAGATTCAAATGGGAATAAGTAACAGTTAAGCTGTATTTCCCAATCTGACTGCTTCCAGATGTTCTGGGATACAACTCCTTTCCTCGCTATCCAACTAGCTAGGAATTGTAATCCAAGAGATTTGGCAGACACCAGGCCAGGGAAGGCTGAATGAGAAAAAGTAAATTATGATTGCAAGAAGAATTTGATTACAGGTAGATTACATGCGATGGGACCAGGTGGTTCTTTTTAAATACAGTGCTCAAACATTGAGAAAATGAGTGTTACAAAAATCTGAGGCACGTGTGTAGGTCAGGGCCCTAAAAATAACTCTGAGCTACAGCTTTTTCACAGCTATGTAAAAAAATGAAGTGTGTTTGTTTTTCTTACACACATGTATGCCAGTATACATACCGCCCCATTCAAATTAAGGGACAAATAAGACGAATAGGAGACTAATATTCCCTACAGGGTTTCATGCTCACTCTCTGGTCAAAAAACGTTTGGGCTTTTCAAGGAAAGAGTGCACGGCATGCTTTTCATAAATCCCCCCCCCCCATGTAAAACGTATGTTTCAATCCTATTATGTCCACTTAACTGGAGGAAGCCTCTACTGAACACAGTAGATCTTATTTCTGATTATAACCATACAGGAGTTATTATTAAGCTAAAATCCAGAGTTTTGACACCTTGAGTATAAGGGGATTGCCTCTGGGGAGTTTCATTAGATTTTTATTCCATTACAAAATATTTCTGTGAACTTCTCATTTTATAATGTATCAGAATGATTGAAACCCAAAGCAGATTTTCAGTGAAGGCAAAACCGATGAGAACTTACACTTTCCAGATGTTGCAGTAAACCTGAAGTTGTACAGTGGCATTGAACCATAGCTCCCATCATTTCTAATCAATGACCATGCTGGAAGACATCAGGTTGGGGAGGGCTAGTTCAGAGGGAACATGAGGTTTTGATGGTTTTTCTTCTGTGCCTCATGCTGGCTCTTCATTCCCAACCTCCCAGGTAATTCTTTGGAATTTATTGAAACTTACAGGATGCAGTTGGGTTACAAAGATAACCCTCACCTTCTTAGGTTGTGTGTCATTACTCTGTAACATTTTATGGTGGAAAAATCAGCTGCCTGACAAATGAAAGAAATGTTTTAGGTTGCAGCCTTTTACTTCCTGAAGGAAATTCCAAAAATGCCCCAAAGACAAAAAACGGAAGAAGGCTGGGATTTCTCTCCATCTGTCTCCTGGTATGGAAAAAATGACTTCATTTGCAATCATTTCCTTGTCTTGGAGAGAGTGTTTTTGGCAAAGTTTGGAAGTGGGAAGTGTCTGGTCAGAATACGCAAAATATTCAGATTAACTTCTCCAACCTAATACCCTTTAGATGCATTGGGACTACCATACCACTTCCAGAAATGCTAGTCAATGTCATGTTGTTTGGGGATTCTGGATTTGTAATAACACATTAGAAGGATGACAGGTGGTGTGAAGTCTGATTTGGCTTTTATGGATTGTTTTGCTGGTTGTGTTATCACACGTTGCTCTTAATATATTTACATGAAATATAGGAGGTTGAAAATTCAGGTTGCCCCTTTGTAACCTGGATGTTAGTCATGGCTTTGAAATGGCCTTGACACTTAATTGTTTTATATTATTATTTATGAATTGCTGTTTGCCTATACAAAGCTTTCCAAGATGAAAGCCACCCTTGAAGAAAAAGAGGAGAATTATTGTAATTTAAGATTCTTTAAAGACCACGCAGAACATAAATATTTCAATGGCTTATTTAAAATTAAACAAAAGAGATACCAATCTAAACTTCTAGGAAGGAGAGTTTTAAACTCAGGCTACAAAAAGGACCCCGGTTCTATTATTCTATTTATAGTCATACTTATAATTTCTAATAAATAAATAAATATGGAGTGGAAAAATGAGAATGAATGCAAATGTTCATAGAAATATGAAACTTTGTACTACTGGGCTGTGTTTGCATAGCATGCTTAATTTCATTAATGAATTAATTCATTTTCTAGGTCCACACAATATATTGAATCATAGCCAGATTGATTGGGTTTGGTGGAAACTACAATCACAGGGGGGAAAAAACCTACCTTGAAGACTAAAATCAAACTGAGTGTGTTTTTGTGAATGTAGCTGCTAAGTCTTTAACTGACCTGGTTAAAAGTCAGCTGTGCAAACCCATTATGTATAACTTCAATTCTGCTTGGCTAGTAGTTCTCTTTAAGAGTCAACCAATAGACTTTTCTATTATTTGCTATCTCATCCTTAAAAAAATAAGTGACAGGTTGCACACCAGATTGCCTGTGCTCTAATACTGAGTTTTGGTCTTATCACATATGGTCTGGATGGTGGCCAAGAAGATGAAGGCATGTGAGGACTACTATGACATTTCTAAGAACCTTCCCTGAGGGCAAATCAGCTCAGCCAACATCTCAAACTGGCTCTCAGGATGACAAAGAACAAATGAGATTATCTGTACAAAGCAAATGTCTAACTGAAGTAGTTTGGTATTGCTCCATTGTCTCCTGGATCACTTGCAAATGCAGTTTGAAGTGCTGTTACCAGCTGCCTCTGGAGGGATGGAAAACATAAAGGAACAGCCATAGTGTCCACCAGAATGCTACTGGATGCATTGACGGGATGGAGGATGGAATGCTGACAAATGTGTTCATTACCTGCCATATTGGCAGTTGCGTGCGTGAGTGCCAACCTCTCCATTCAGTTACATCAGTAGGGTATGGTGTCCGTGACAATAGCTGGCTGATGCTTACTTTGATCCCTCCCCAGCCAGTTTTTTTTTTTTTCCTGACTACTTGATAGAACACTGAGTTCTTCCTTGGACACTGTCTTTCAGATTTTTGAATAGGCAAAGTAGGTATTGACAATAGAGACTATCCCCATTTATGGATTTCTCTCTTCTTTTCAGCACCACACTACAATAGATTTAGTCTTCTGGGTCCTGAGATCAGTTTTGTTTAATGGTAAAGTCTTTGAGTTTCCTTTAAAAAGGAAGCAAAACATGACTGTTTTAAATAAATACATTATTTTGCCTGATTTGTTTGCTTCAGAGTTGAAGTCACTAAATCTTTGCACAAATTACAAGAGACATCTCAAAAAGAAAACATGAGAAATGCATGCTGCCCTTCATTTCAAGAAATATTTGAGAACATTGTGCGGAACCATACAAATAGAGCTTAACTTGCTCTGTTCCAAGCTGCTGCACTTATGTACTTCCGATTCTGTGATTAAAGAAAAAAAATCTTGCCTTACTTGGTATCTCTGGAAGAACTGACCAGGTTGCCCATTTGCTATCCAATCAATCTGGAGAATATTTTGCTGGGAAAGGCAAGGTGAACTTTTGACTGTGATAATATGCATGCCAACAGCATTCTGTTGAATTGAAGGTGGGAACATCAGGCTTCCTAGAACTCTAGAAAATCTGTACCGTAACAGTTTGCTTTTAAACTTACAATAAATAGTTTGTCATGTTTCCCTAATGTGGGATAATCCTGATGTTTTAGATTACAGTTCCCAGCTATCCTGGCCATGCTGATTCTGGGTTATAAGAGTTCAACTGATTTGGAAGGTATCAGGTAGAAGAAGGATAACATAATTTTTATGTAGGAAGTTGTGTTCTTCAATTCTTAAGGCCAAAGAATACTGCTGGATCTCTATTATATCACTATAGATAACATAACTCAGTTTTCTGATTCTTCCTTCTCCTCCCATTGATGGATTTTTTCTTGGTTTACTCTTTATAAAGGGTGAACAAAGAGAAGGTAAATCCCAAGCAGTTAATAGCACAGCTATTAATATTTGTGATTCAAAGTAATTTCCTCTACTCCCTTGTCCCTATGGAATTTTTATTAGAGAGTTTTGATCCAGATTATTTCATTTAGTTTTGTTTTTTAGTTTCAAAATGGTTTCTCCTCACACCTCTCTTAGCCTTAATATGATGAAACATGCTTGTTTTGTAACTCTGAGCAGAAACAACATATACCTTTAGAACAGGGCCCCTCACTACAGCTGTCCAGGACCTTCTGCCTGGGTGAGAATTCCAGGGAACTGAGGTGGCCACTTGGGGAAGGTGGAAGACTGGCCAAAGTTCCTGGGCCTGACTGCGCAAGGCAATAAGTCTACAGTAGTTTCCATTCTGGACTTTAGGCAGCCTACAATCCTTCTACAGTGTGACAACTCTAGTGTGGCAACCTCACTGAGCTAGCAGTTTGATGTGGCTACAAACAGTCAAACACAGGTGGACCCCTTCCCCTTCCCCTTC